AGATTTAATATATACATTTTTAGAAAATATTTTTGGAATTGGGAAAGATTTTTCTTTTTAGTTAACAAATATTTGAAACATAATTATTAAAAAATATTTTGTTGAATTGAGAACAATTTTTCATTTAGTGGCGATTTCCAAAATTTAGAAAAGAAATATTTTAAGTGTACGCATAATTATATTTCGAATATTTCTAAGACTTCTAATATGTCTATAATTTTCTGGTGCATCTCACATATATTTTGAGTTCTTTCTTAAGCAAGTCTTAAAATTCCCAAAGAACCTTTTTTATCTCAAAGAACATATGCTAATAGTTTGTTAGCCCACAAATACTAATACAATTCCCTCAAAGATAGTTATGAATCCTTAAGATACTTTGCTCTACTCTGCAGCTCTAAGATACTTTTGTTAGTTGCACAAAAATGAATAGTTTTGTATAGCAAACATTAGCACCAATAATAATATTGTATATTCAAATATAAAGAATATATTTACTTCGTATCTTAGAGATACTTTTTGTGCATATTAAAGATGATACAGTCATTTTTTGTATAGCTATGTAACTTTGTGGGCCACAGATGCTTTTGTATCTCAAAGATAGTTTTGAATATTAAAGGTACCTTCATATCTTTAAGATATGTTTGCATGCCAAGATCAATTTGGTATCCGCCAGATGGTATACACCAAATTTAAAAAGTATCTAACAGATGGTTTTGAATCTTAAAGATACATGTGCATAGCAAAGATAGTTAAGTATCTTTCAGAACATCTAAACTTATTGTTAAGCTTGCAAAACATAACAAAAAATTAAAGAAACGTTTGGTTTTCAATAAAATTGAAGCTAAAGTGTGCTCAGAATGTTGAAGCACTCGAGTTGAGAACTCTTTTCAAATTATTTTAACGCTAACAAGATTGAGTATGAGATAACTATGATCTCAATTCTTGACTGTCAGTCGTTTTCAGAGCTTACTTTTGCCCCATAAACGTCGACAATTATCTAAGAATCTCAAAGTGCTGCGCCTTCAAGAACGCGCATGCGTAATAGAACCCAGCCCCACATATGTTGCCGCCCACGGCAAATGATCTTCATGTTACCATACTATATATATCTAATGAAAGCCAAATCGATTTCAATGTTCAATAACTTAATTAAACGCAGATTGGGGTTAAATTTGCATGCAAATTGCGAATTGCATGCGCTTTGCCAGGCCAGGGGCCGGCACAGGGGCGTCTGTGCAATCATCTTTTGAATATAAAATTGATAAATCGGTACGATTGCAATCGGGCAATTAAATAAATATACGATACATTGTTAATAATACGGCAATTAACTAGTTGACTTATACAGAGCCGGCCATTATAACGAAGAACAAATAATTGGCGTTGATTAAACTGCGCCAAAAGCTACAGTTAATTGACATTTAAGGCAATTCATTACTTAACTTTGGCAAAAACTAAAACAGAAAAACTAAAAAGCAACACATTTGCGAGCTAATAACGTCTGCGGGGGCTGTTCGATTTTGGGCACAGCTGTCTTTAAATACCAACCGAATGGAGCCAAAAGCCATTGCTAATTGCATTGACTGCTGCCGCAGCAGCAGCAGTTATTTTTGTGGAAATGCAGTTTTCACATGCTCGACTTTGGTTTTCTGCGCGTTTTTTCTTCAAAATTTACATACGTACTCCTATGTGTATGTATGTGTGTGTGCGGCGCCACAATTCTCAGGCTGCAATTGAACATTGGGGCACTTGTTGTTAGCGGCAATTAATGTTAGTTGCAGACGGACTGCATAAATCAGCCTAATTGCTATATTTAAATTCTAAATTTGGTTCTTTTTTCCAAAAACAGGCGCACGCTTGTCGTGCATATCTGAATGTCGGACCCGACCTGCTCAGAAAAAAACATTGGCTTGTATGTTATTTTGCATGTAATATATGCATAACATTAATTTTGCTGCCAGCCAGCAGGTGGTACGTTTTTTTGTTTTTTAAATTAGTTTTTTAGTTTTGGGTTTTTTTAGAATAGCAATTGAAACTCTTGCATAAACAGGGATCCCTTTTTTTAGCTTTAAACTGCGCGCGCTCAGTCAACGACAAGATGTTATCGGTGGCAGTGTTGTATAACGAGCGCGTACACTGCCGCCACAATCACAGCTGATATGCAGCTCACATAGCGTGCAAAGTAATGCAGCTTGTTCAAATAATTATAAACAATTTCATTCGAAGATAATTCATAAATTATAATAATAACATCTAAATTAATTTTTAAAATTACAAGTAAGAAAAATGTTTCAGTTATGTGCTTGATTTTCTACAAAAAAATTAGCTTGTCTTGCTTCATATTAATTTTGTTTTAACCTCTCTTCCAGAGCTGCGTACTGGCTGTAGGACTATCGATAAATCTGCGTATTTATCGCTAACCGGCTTCGCAATTTCGCATTGCAATTTTGTTTACATTTTACTAAAATGTCGCTGTCGCCAAAAAAAAGCGATGCAGCAGTAAAAAAGGAAGCGAACGATGAAGTGTCTAAGAATTCAACGGCCCCAGATGCCATGGACACGGATGACCGCCCCGAATCAATCAATACAAAAGACATACATTACGATGCCGACAGTGAGATGAACGAATCGGGCGCAGAAGATGCGGCGCCCAAGCGAGAGCCGGCCGCAGATGAGGATGCCTCCACGGTGATTGCACCGGCTAACCGCTCCACCTCTGATCCCATATCCAAGCAGAATTGCAAATGGAATCTGCGCGTCATCATCTCAAATTTGTATATGCAAACCGAGCAGCGACTGCCCAGCGCTCGTGTGCCCAAATGCCTGCACAATACGAGCCAGTGCGTGAGCAAACATCGCTGTGCCATGCTGCCGGATGCGCCCGACATTGGAATTGCCCAGGAGCTGCGCAATAATCTATATAGCCAGCACTATGAGACATATCTGGATATGCTGGAGACAATGGCCCTGCAGTCTGTCTATCCGGACGAGGCGGTTTTCGATCGGCTCCTCGATATGATTATGGTATGTTTGAATATACTTTGGAAAAATCTAACCATTGATGATGTGCACTTTTAAGATACTCAACACCAAGAGCTTGACCCTCGATGAGCTGCACAGCAGATATAGAAATGTGATACGCATTTATTATCTGCTTGTGGATGCATTTCCACCCTGCTGGACAGCGTTGCGTCCCTACTATTTGAATTTCCTGGGCGTCCCAAATGCCACAGACGAAAAGCCACAAAAGCTGAGGTTATTGCTGGATTTGCTAGAAGGTTGCCTGGCCAAATGCAGCGAATCGGAGATTAGTCGGCTAACACCCTACTACGAGCAGTTTGTCCACGATTTCGCTGAAGAGGAGAATGCAAACATGTCGCCAGAGGAAGTGTTTCTGTGTCACGTGCAGGACTACGACTGGCAGAGTGGCAAGCAGTGGGTGGATGAGTTTAAGAAAATGTCAGCAGCTGTGCAGCTGGCGCGTCTCTTCGATGCTCTGGACATGTTATGCTGGGTGTTGGAGCGTGAGTTTATGGCCTGGTTGGATCACAATCGCTTGCAGCAAACCGAGCCGGAAATCTTTCAAGACGACTCGAAGCCCTTTGTGCTCATCGTCTTTGGCATGGCAAAGAGCTCGCGGCTAACAAATATTACGCGACAGTTGCTGCGCTTGTACAGTCGTGCGGCGGCCAAGTCTATGTATCCGGAACGCCTGAGGATATTGGAGGTATTTGTATTTATTTATCAACCTGAGTATTTGCCTTAATTTGAAGCTATTTTCCTTACAATTTAGCGTTATGTGTCGCTCATCATGGAGGCAAGCAACACGGCCGAACTGGTGTACGCCAATAATTCGCTGATTTATCCCAATCTGGGTCCGCAGACACGTCGTCTAATCGGCGAGTTCTTTAAGCTATTTAAAACAGAAAATCCTGCAGATGTTAGCACCTATATTAAGACCATACCGAAGCTCAGTCAGTGCTATGTGCGTTACGAGTTTGCCGATCATTTTCTGCGTCTATTTTACTGCTCCGATGCGGCATTTGGGCCGGACAAGGTGTGCGAGGAGCTGAAGGCGAAGCGTTGGCTCAAATACAAGCCACGCAGCGCCATTGAGGAGTCGGACAATGAACAGTTGTCGCGTGAGGATTATCTAAAAATTATGCTCAATGCGCTGCGGGATTATTGCACGTGGCTGAATCTGCAAGCGTGTTGGAAATATATCAAAACCAAAGTCCCTGTGCAGCAGCTGCAAACAAGGACGAGCAGTCCACTGGCCACGCCCGTGGGCGTTGTCACTGGTGATGTGGGCAAAATATTTATGCTCGATGAGATGCAAAAGGAGGCGCACACCTGGAAGCAGCGCATCAACTCGAAAGTCATTCTGTCCAGACCCAAAGTCAATCTGCCCGTGGCCAGGATCAGTGTGAGCACCATGGCCGAGCGTTATGGCGGCGATATACGACAGCTGCGCTATCTGCGTCGTGTGCTGCTGGAGGTGAAGCGCTTCGAGGATGTTACAGATTGGCTGGCCTATGTGAACGATTTCCTGGGCGAAGATGAGCCATCATCGGAAACTGAGTCCCGAAAAGAAATAAGAGCACAATTGCCAGTGATAATTAAAACCTAAAGGTAATTTATAAATACGCCCATTACAATAAGCCAAAAGAAGAATAGAAGTCAATAAGGATAAAAGCTGAGAATTTATGGGCACATCTCTTTTTGGGAAATAGCTTAAGGATTAAACAATATACTGCATTTCAAAGAAGTAACAACATATATTTAAACATTTTCAAAAAGTTCCAATTCGCCAAACTCGCAACGTAAGCGCACAGTCAGCTACGTAAACGCAGAGTGAGCAACGTAAACGCAATGTGAGCAACGCAAGCGCAAAAGCTTCACGTTTTAACAGAAACTTGCCAGCCGTTAACAGCAAAGGCATTTAACAGCAAACCCAATGCAGGATATTGTCCTGTCTGGCAAGCGAAAAAAAAAAATACTTTTAGTTGATTTTAGCAGCACAACCCCGTCGCCAGCAGCAGGAGCAGCAAATGCTTGCCGTCGCGACAAACACGCAAACTTAGCCAAGTGTTATTCAAATAAACTACAACTCGAGTGCAAAATCAAAATTGTACGTAAAGCAACAACAGCAACAACAACAACAGAAAAATGTGCCGTATAGTGTAACAGTAGCAACAACAACAACAACGAACGTTGTGAGCACAGTGGTTAAAAAAGAAACGAAAAAGGAAAACGCAAACGCAAACGGGCCACAACAGCAAAAGCAAAAGAAAGCGCAGTCAAAATGTCGACAACTGTGGAACAGGTGAGCAAACTTGAAGCGAAACCACTTTAAGTAAATTTATGTAATTCCAATTGATATATATACATACTTTTTTTTGGTTAACCAATCAGTCATTAAGGCAATGTTACGGTATTTTAAACGGGCAGCCATTGCCGCCGACATCTGCGTAACATGCAGTGCCAGGCGGCCAACTGGCTGTCAGTCTGCCTCGCAGGCGGTCGGACTGTCTGTCAGTGTGTGCGTAGGTGTAGCCAGCTTGCGCTCAGCTTCGCTCGCTGCCTCTCTCTACTTGGGTGTGTGTGTGTGCGTGTGTGTGTTAGTGTGCGTGTGTATTGGCATGTGCTGTGCCGTTTTGCATTGCCATGCCAACGGCGACGCTGGCACTTCCTGTTTGGCTGATATTGCCTCGATTTGACAGTAAAATTCGATTAATTTCTAATCTGTACATCAGCTTGGCAAGTGCCACAGCCAGACAGACTCGCAGACTTCATACGTATTCAGCGACAAATATAAATAGCTGCCATTTTGTCAGCGAATTGAAATGCACACACACACACACACTTACGCTAACACCCAACCACACACACACACACACACTCATACAGTCAGTCACACGCATAGGACGCGGCAATGCATGCAAATTTCGTTTGCATATACAGTGAAAGCTCAACTAATGCTACAGCGGACGTTGCCTTTAGCCGGCATAATTTTTGTTGTTCTTGCGTAAAGAGAGTTTTCAACTAGATTTGAAGTAGATTAGAAGACAATTAGGCTTCGCAGGCTTTAGATTCTAGATTATAAATTCCATTCCATTAAGGGACAATTTATATGTATTTCCCCTCCAGTTTTAGTTGGGCGAACATTCTATTATTTATATTAATATATCATTGTTAATGTGCTACAAAGGTTGGTGCTGTCTTCTAGGTTGGAACTGAAAAATGTTGTGGAAGTTGGAGTGCATTTTTGGCTAATTGCATTGTAATTTTAGTTAAATATATTCTATATGTCGGCAATTAGAAACAATCGATTATTTGTGAGTTTTTTGGGACTAAAAGAGAAATTTTTGTTTTTGTTTTTTGTTTACAACTAAAGTACTCTTACATATATAATTTATATTTTAATTTTGAATTTATATATATTTGTTATAAGATCTTTAATTGAGATTTGCCTGAATAAGTATTCACTTTATTTTTGTTATATTTTTCGACTTTATCTTCGCAATAGGAACGTCCAAGTGTGCGTTTACTGTACCTCAATTCAATCGTTCGTTTGCTTGTCTGTGATTTGACAATTTGTTGCAAGAACTAGTCTAGCACCCCCACCCCTTCCTTTATCACCTTAAGAGCTGTTCACCTGCTAGCAAATTGAAGTGCCCCAACGAGTGGCCCATTTAGATAACTTCAAGACTTGAGGGGGTCTTCTTCCCCCCCAAAATATGCATTGAAAACACAAGTTTTTACTTTGTGTCGCTTAAATTTTCTAATTGTAGCTTAATTTTATGTAAATTATCTTCCAACTCAGAGTTCCTTCTTACTTTTTTTTTTAGGTGCGTATGCTACGCGTAAGTCTCGCCTTTCAAAGTCACAGAAAACTTTTGTTGCATATTTCAAGGCGCGCATGTAGCGCGAGTCATTACGTTTTATAGACTTTATAAGAACTTCGCTGATGCAGTTTGGTCAGAAGTTTTCGCTGCGCTGCGTTGTCAGGTGACTGCTCAGCATATCCTTATAGAGCAGCATATACACATACATATATAAATATAAAGTATATGGTGTGTATATATATGTATGTACATGAAAAGTTAGAAACGGGCGAAAGGGAGATAGCGTTAATAACGGAAGGCGCCTTTTTTTGTTGTGCGGAAAGAAAAACATTTTCAAGCGTTTATGGCCACGCGGTATTATGATGGCATTTAATATAAGTTTTCCGGGAAAAACAAGATTTAAGCATCAAAATGTGCTTTAATTTAAATTTTTATATATACCTCATTAAATTGTTTATATTCCCGACCACATCAGAATGTACACAACAATCCTATTTGGCATTTAATATATATTTTAATAGTAGTATAAATATAATCACATTTAATTAACTTATAATTTGAGCGAGCAAATAATGTTGCATACACTTTGAATGCGAAAGGATTTGCAAAGTTTTTAAATTAAATTTAACTATGCTTTAGAAAATACTTGACATTCTTTTATGGCCACTTGAAAGCGATTCATTTTATTCCACTCAAATTCATGCAAATGTTGATTCTAACATGCCCCAAAAAGTATGCTACACGCATATATTTCGCAGAATTTTAATTGCACAGTAATTTTTTGTTGTTTCTCAACACTTTTCTTGTGTTTTTTTATTTGGTTAGCAAATATGTGAGAGATAAAGTTTATATATATATATTACAGATCAGCTTTATTAGTCAGTCTGTCTGTCTGTTTCTATGGAAACTAGCCAAATAAAACTTGGCTAAGTTTTAATTGCAGGTAAAACATATATGGGAGTCATTCGGAACTAATGATAAGAAATGAAATTTTTGTACATACATTTGTTGGTTATTCATACTTTCTCTAAACAAAAAAAAGGGATTAGTAAAAGTATAAATTCAAAATAATATTAATTAAGTTAATATAATAAAAATATGTAATCAATTACAGAGAATAGAATCAATTTGGTTAGATGTGAAAGAAATGAATAGGGAGAAAACAAATCATATTAAAAGAGGGTTAAGAAATAGAGTTAATAATAAATAAATAAGAGAATGAAGAGTAGAGCAGTAGAATAGAGAGATAGAGTAGGAACAGGAAAGGAGGGTGAAGAAATAAGATTATAAATAATAAATTAATTATAAATGGAGAATAAAGAGTAGAATAGTAGAATAAAAAAAGGAAGGGTAAAATACGACAGTAGTAAGAAGTAGGATTTGGAAAAATTAAGATAATAAAGAGTAGAGTAGTAAAATAGAGAGAGAGAGAGAGAGAGAGAGGAAAGGAGAGAAAGAGAGAGAGAATTGGTAAAGAACAATAGGAGGAGAGAGATAGGAATGGGGAAAAAGTGGATAAAGAAATAAATTAATAATAAATAATAAAGAGAATTAAGAATAGGGTAAGAGAAAAGAGGAAGAGGGGAATGAACAATAGTAGTAGAGAAGTAGGAATGGAAAATTATTGCCACGATGGAGGATAATTTTGTAGGCTGTCCGGCCTCGAACTATTATATTATATAGTTCCCCGGTTTCTATTCTTTTCATTTTCCCAAATCATGTTATTTGAATGCATAGTTAAATAAGAAAATAATAGGGAACATTCGTATGAATTATAGACGTGATGTATTATGTATAGCATATAGCACGTCGATTTGTAACGGTGCATGGGCTAACTAACGAGACACACACACATACACACATAGGCACACATACAGCCATGTCTGTTGCTATTACGTGCGAAGCTTCCTGCTTTTTGTGCAGTATTTTGCCCTGAGCATAAATTACAACTTCTCAGAGGTTAGCAACAAGGCGCACATATGTACAGGCACACACACACACATACGCACATACACACACACCTACACCTACATACATACGCTCGCATGTGCCTTTGGCTTGGCTGTCAGTGTCGCCGGTTGCCGCTGCTTACATAATGTTAATGATGCTGCCGCCGCGGCCAGTGCCGGGACTCATTTCATGTTGTTTGCGAAAAACAGATAAAAAGAACAACAAAAACAAAAGTCAGCGGCGGCGGCGGCACGTGACACGCGGCGTCGGGGGCGTCACAATGGACGCACTGCATCCTGGGCTAAATTGTTTTGCCGTGCTGCCGTTGCTGTTGTTGTTGTACATTATTTCAATTTGGCGGCATAATAAAGTGCTTCCGTTGTGGGCCACATGGCGTATTGTGCAACGCCTGGCAATGCGAGCAGCTTCAGCTGCAGCAGCTGCATCCCCAAGGATAATGCCTTGCTTTGGCTTCGTTATGCTTGTTTGCGCTGATGCACAGCGCCAACGCGGGCCAACTGCTTGCCCCTGGGCAGTGCCTTGACACACACTCACAAACACACACACACACCAACACACAGATGTACACACAGCTGCCCCAAATTGGCAGCTGGTGACCGCCAAACGTGTCATTTGGAGCTCCGGCGCCTCTGCCCTGGCCAAGGTCAAATCTCAACTGTTTTGATTTAATTTATTGTTGCATGCATTTGTGCGCTCATAAAACGCCAACGAACGCCTAAGTTAGCACACAGACACACTCACCTGCTCCCCACACCCGCTCCCCACACCCGCTCCCCACACCCGCTCCCTTCAAGCTGCTTCCCCCCTCCCACGCCCCCTTTTTTGCGGCTAGCAAAGCCAATATTTTGTTTGTCTGCCTCTGTTTATCTTTGTCTTTGTCTAGAAGCGAGTGTGTCTGTGTATATTTTGATTGCTTTTGCTCACACCCTTAGCACCCTATCCCACACACACCCACACACACCCACACACACACACGTACACACACATACACCCACAAAGCTATGCAGGGCCGCCACGAGGTGACTCAATGTCTTGCTCATTTCCTTCGAATGGTCGAAACTATATTCAGCACAGCCGCTGTTTCTTTATGCCCAGTGTCTGTGTCTGTGTGTGTGAGATTCTTTGTGGCATAAATAGGGGTTTTGTTTTTATGTGAGTGCTGGCATAACATACATATACATGTATATATATATATATTTATATATATAGAACTGTAGCAGCCCCGACTTTAAATGACTTTCCTTTTGCCAATTCGCAAATGTGCTTGACGCTCTGAAAGGATTCTAAATTGCTTTTACATTGGTTTCTTGTTAGCTCTATCTTTGTTTTTTTTTACCTTAACAAATGCTTTTTATTTTGTTACCTAACTTCAATTTGCGCTTTAAATTGAGTCGAAGTTTAACATTTTTAGCCAGCAACAAAATTTGTGTAGCTAAACTTTAGAATCTATTTTTAAATGACGTTCAGCTTTTAGAAGTATCAATATCGCAAATTGTGCTAAATACTT